TCCCGCTTTCTCTCCCCTATGTCCGGGCCCTCCCGCTGGAACGCGCGTGCGTTGAGCGAAGAAGCGGGATGCCCAACACCCAGCAGGCGCCCGCGGAGCCTCCTCTGGCCGGGAAGGCAGAGCTAGCACGGTCAGAAGCATCCGGGGGGCACGAGGAGCTCTTCCAGCCCGCCTCCCCTCAGCTCTTCTATCCGAGTACATTTAAAAACAACAGCGACACAACTGTTTGAAACCAAAGCTGTCTGCTCGTCTCCTGGGGTAGTAGGTGGTCTCGTCTGCTCCTGCCACCAGGACAAGAGGCCGTAACCCGGGGCTACTGGTTCTCCTCACGCATCTGTTCCATGATGTTGATGAGGCTTTCCAGCCCGAAAACGTAGCCCATGTCAGGTCCGTCGTGCACAGTGGGGTCATCGCGAAAGCCTTTGAACGTGCTGTGCGCGAAGTCGATCATACGCACGTCCACCTTGGGCTGGGCCGAGGAGCCGGGCTCCGTGCTGCCGCCGTCCTGGAGGCTCTCCGGCAGAGAGCCGTCCACCCGCTTTAGGCGCATCTCCGGCCGGCGCTCCACAAACATCCCCGCCCTGCTGTCCTTCCCGTCGTAAATGATGAGAAGGGAGCTGGAGTAGAAGCGGTAGGAGGCCTGTCTCTCCAAAACCGCCTTCAGGCTTCGCAGTTTGGTGAGGACAGGCTCAAAGAGGTCCTTGCGCAGCTCGATCCCGTTGTGGAGATACTGGTAGAGGGCGTTGCGGAAGCCCTCGATGGAAAGACCACGTCCATAGTATTTATTCCTGCATAAGTAATGCCCCGTGTCCAGCTGATAGACCTAGGATGCCAAAGGAAAGGCACATCAAGCGGGAGCAGCAGGTTAAGGCCGCGGAGAGCCCCGAGCTCTCCCTCCCTGTGCTGGCAGGGCAGAGGGAGCTCGTTCTGTCCCCAGCACGCCCAAGAGGGAGCAGGAAACGGCTCTGCTTGTTCCCCAAAGCAGCTCACGGGTGCATCCCATGGTCGCAGTCAGTATGCCCAAGTGCTGGCTCTCTCCCAGGACACCTCATCATCCCCAGCATCCCCAAGAGGCGCGGCACGGCAGAGCCCGAGGCATAAAATGCAAAGTCTTAGAGCACCTCCAGCACCCTCTGGCAGGGGGAGCTGCCCACAAGCGTGGCTGCTGTTGTGGCTCGTGAGGACCGAGGGGCCCTCACTGCTTCGGAGCCCGTGGGCAAAGAGACGCCAACCCCCGCGCGCAGGGCCCAGCCACCAGAGAGCGGCTTTTTGTAACTCGCAGCAGACACAACCGTCAGCTGGCACTGGGGCGCAGGGACACCCCCCGGCACCATGCTTCGGGCTGAACCCACACAAATAATCTCATTGGAGAAACCCCCAATCATCTGTGAACAAACCAGCGCTGGATAAAGCCGGCGCCTCTGGAGAGACAGGCTCCTTTGTCCCAGGCCTACGAGCAAAGACGACAAGCGTGCGGCACGAGCGCTGGTGTACCCACCCGACGTGGGAGACTGTCGCTCGGCAGGAAACACTACCGGGGAGGCGTAATGGGCTGCGAAGAGGAACCCACCGCACCTGCATCCCCAGGGATCCCTACCTGCATCCCGCACACGCGCACGCCCAGGGTGGCGGAAGTACTCTGTTCGCACTTCTTCATCTGCCGCGCAGCCTTCTCCTCGGACGCATCATCCCCGTGCTGTCTGGTCCCCATCTTCAGGTCAAGTACGCAGGGAAGCTTGAAGTGATGCACCACGTTCTCCAGCAAAAGGAACTCTGGGAAGCACGTCAAGGAGAGCTCAGCCATCAGGGAGACCCCTCCCCGGGGCCACCGCAGGCAGGGACGCGGTCTAGCGTAAGAGGGGGTCGGCAGACAACAGGGAAGCAAAGGGCAGAGAGGAAGAAGCATTTGGGGGTGTGAAAGACAAAACCCAGCGGTGGCACCCAGGCTTGGATGGTTGGCAGAATAAAGCAGCCCAGGAGGTGGATGGGCCGATGGCAAGGAAGGAGCGCAGGGGGGAGCGAAGGGCACAGCGCTAGCGTGGGCAAAGACATGGTACCCAGTAGGATCACCAATACGTTCAGGGAGAGCTTAACGTCTAGTCAAATCAGCCATTCACCCATATGGATGTAAACAACCCAATCCCCACAGACGCAGGCTCCGGCACCAGCACAGCACTGCTGCTACAGGCCTGACCAGAACAGCCACGCTGCCCGATGCGCCGTGGGGGCGGCCGAGGCTACAAAGCCAGGAAGCAGCCGTAACGGGAGCCGTGGGCTACCAACCCGCATAACGGGCAAACCATCCGCAGGGCACGGCGCTGGGAACGAACCCGAGACAAGCGGCACCGGCAGCTTTTCCCAGAGGGGAAAACAACAGCCCTGAAGTTTGCCCCAAGAGCCCTGCGGGGCTGGGTTCAACACGCCGCGCCGGAGCGGCAACCGGAGCAGCAACCGGAGCAAACCTGCACGGAAGCATAACATTCAGAAAACTCTACCATCAACGGGGTGTGACTGTGAAAGGGGAACGACATAAAAATAAGGCAGCGTGATTAAGAAGAACAGGGCAGCCAAAGAGAACTACTCTGCACACGAGGCGGGAACGAAGCTGGAGGCTGAGGCAGATGTTGGAGAATAGGGAAAGGAAGCTCACGCAGTTAAAATTCCAAAGAATCCAGCTATTCCGTTTGTTTCTACGTGAAGAAAACAATCCCAGTAGGTGAAACAAAAAACTGCCCGCAATCCATCAATTTCCAGACAAAAGCAGGAGGAGTCACTGGCAAAGGCAGAGAGTAACAAATCCTTCTTCAACCACCGGAGCAGCCAGTCGAGCCGCCCAAAGAGACCCCCCCAAAAAGGAGAAACGGTATTTTGCTGCTTTGTTGGCTGGGGAAGAGCTTAAGGGATTCCCAGACCAGAACTCGCCTGAGTTCAGAGAGTTCTCAAGCTGAAACGCCAAGAGAAGAGATCGCACGTCACACAGGGAGACGCGTAACCCCCAGCACCCTAACACCCGGAGTCTGAACGGGCTACGACGACGCCGAGCTGCGGAGACCTGGGGAGCTGCAAGCTGGCCTTACAGCCCAAGGCAGCACACGTGGAGATCCAGCTGTTCAACAAGGGATCGAGCAGCGGGACGGCAAATCTGCTCCAAGACAAGGGCGTTAAACATCAGCGGCAGCCCCCGCTGCACCCAAACCTTCCCTCTGCGCGCTGGTCTGGTCTCCAGCCGGGTGCAGGAGGACTGGAAGAGGCTCGAGAACGGTGATGAGGACAAACACGACTCCCTCCCGAGGGATTACTGGACAGGGCAGAGCTGCGCCTGCTGCCGGGCAGAGCCCACCGTGAAAAACCACGGCTCAAGACGCAGGTCAGCGAAGAGAAGGGCCAGAGAAGAAAGAAAACAGGGGCTGTAGTCAGCAACGTGGCTCCTCTGAGCATCGTGTCCGACGTCGGCGTCACCATACAGGAAGCAGGATGGAAGGGGGAAAACAAACGCAACACAACTGCGGTTGTGAGGGACAGGAAAGCCAACGGAAACGCAGGCCTAGCCACCCTGGGCACCAGCTTGTCAGGCCAGGGCAGCAGCAACCTGACACCCTCAGTTCTGCTTCCCAAAGGATACTGTAGAGCTTCCGGTCCTTGGACTCCGACCGCATGCGGCTCAGCTGCTGCTTATGACAGCGCAGGCTCCAGGGGTTGTAGCTGATCTTTTCAGAGCTCAGACCGCTGTTCCCATCCAACATCTGAAATGGAACATCTGAATGGATGTGCAAGTCCACCCTGGGACTCTTCGTTTCCTGGATGCTGCTGGTATAAAGACAGAACACCCTTGTTAGAACCCAGGTGTCCTCCAGACACGACTGTCACACCCTCCCCTCGCACACGACCGCCTCCCGCTCCTTCTCCTGTTGCTCATGTCACACAACACAAACCTTCCTCACAGACACCCCGGGCTGTGGACCCAGGCTCAAGGACCCGGTCAGTCTAACATCTCTGCTAGGCTGTGCCGTGATCGACAGAGTGAGCAGGAACGTTTATTTCTTGGGGAGCTCAGGCTGGTGTGAGGAGGCAGAGACCCCTGTTCAAAGGGCCCCTGGAAGAAACCTCTGGGTTAATAACCAGGTGGACTGAAGAGCGTTTGAATCTGCTCCAAACGCTGGTTCCACACCCAATGAACTGCCAAGGGTTATCCTGTGGCAGAAGCAATTCCCATGGAGGAGTGTGTCCTGAACCCAGCCAAACTGACAGCCTGGAGCGCCACAGTGCGCTGGGCTAGCACGTGCAAGAGAGCCTGGCCACTGCATGGAACTGCAAAATGCCCTCAACCAAAGGAGCCAGAGCTGAAAGAGGAAGAGATTTCCCACTCATCACGCTGTCAGCAGGCTCTCAAAGCTTTACCTTTCAGTGCTGTCACTGGCCAGGCCAGACTTTTCCTCCTTGTGCTCAGTGCCGCTGCTTGATCGGTGAAGGCTCCGACGCGAGTGCTTGCGTCGTGGCTGGTCCCTCTCTGGCATATCATCCTGCTCCAGAGCCTCATTCTCCACGTAGGGATAGGCCACCAGGTTGATGTAGCCATCGCTGTCTCCCTCAAAACAGACAGACACCACACCTGCCAGAAAGAAGTGACATGTTTCTGTTTCCTGAGGGAGGGAACACACAGCCGCTAACACCCAAATGTTCGACAGGAGAAGGGAAAATGTAGTTCACAGAGCAGCAAAGCAAGTCCAGAGCAACGAAAAGATGTTTTAAGACTACAAGAACCCCCACGTCCTTAGCACAGCACAGAGGGGAACCCCCCAAACAGGGCTCTGAGTCGCTCCCTGTGCCAATGGCCGGCAGCAGGAGGGGGAGCTCTGCCGCCTGCAGGAAAGGAGGGACAACACGCAGCCAGTGGGCTGAGGGGTGTTCCCTTCCAGGCAGCAAGCGTTGTCAATCCGCAGAAAGTCAAGCACGGTCCACCAAGGCGCTGAGTGGGTAACACACAAAACATCTCTCTAGTTCATCTGGGTATGTGTGTCCTGCAGAAGCATTCCTGATGCCAACACTGCTGGCCGAGGAGCGGTGTGCCTTCCCTGCTCAAGGAGCGCTCCAGCATCCGCGGAGCTCCGAGGCTGAGGGGACACCTGCCCCAGGTCAGCCAGCCTCACTGAAAAGTGATTGCCATGGTCCCAGGGCTTCCTAGCAATAAAAACAGGGAGGCCTGGAAGTAGAACTACTTCAGGCAAGCAGGACCATTTGTGTCCTGTCCGGTTCGAGCTTCTGAAGGCTCCTGGAAAGCTCCATAGCTTGAGGGAAGGTACAGCTCTTCCACAGCACAGACTCCAAATGCATCGAGCTGGCCATCCGCAGAGCGGGACAGCCGACACTTCTAGTTAGGGCTGACATCTCTGGGGCTCCCCAGCCCTGGAAATGAGGCTATCGGCCCATCTCCTAACTTGTCGTGACACGTCACCCATCAGCTTGTCACCAGCACTGAACAGCTGCCAGAGTATCGTGATGCTACATGCCCCCAGTGAGATGACCACCAACGTGAGGAAAGCTGGCACTGCTCAGCTGGGGCAGGCCATCAGGTACTGCCCGTCCTTCTTCCTTATCTGCACACGACAATGCTAACAAGGGGCAGGCGGCCAGACACAACTCCGGAGCAGTTCAGGACTCCAGCACGTCACTAGACAAACACCACTCGGAGTGCCCTGGGTGCCTGGACACGGACCTCAAGATCTCTCTGTGAAAGGAAATCAGAGTAACATCTGAGTGCTCAGACAGAAAATATCCCCAGTATTCCTCTCTCCCAGATCAGTAGGAATAATTCTGGGACTATCAGATGAAATCCCACACTGGGGTGGAGGCACAAGTCCGGTGCCTTTAGGCTACCAGGACAGATCTGACTCCAAGACGACGGGTCTCCACCTGGACTATCAGCTTCACCGTTTTGAACACATGTCCCAGGGAAACCCTGACAGCGTATCGATCCCAGTAACCACACAGGCTCCAGCGGAGATTTCTGGCGGGTCGCTAGAGCACCGTATGGCCCCAGCGTGACCCGAGGGTGTGAGAGGGCCCGGCCGTTGGAGAAGGTGTCGTTCATTCATGAGCTGCAGACAGATGCGGGTAGGTAAGCTGACACTGCTTCCAGACCTCGGGGCTGCAGCCAGATGAAATGGCAAGAGGTGGAACAGATGGTGGTCCCAGCTGTCCATGAAGCCTTCCCAATGCCACGCAGCAAGGGAGAAGCGGAGGCAATCGGAACGCCGAGTTCCCCGGAAGGCTACCTGCCAGCGTCACCAACCCGAGCACAAGCGCACATGGCCCGCAGCGAATCGAGCTTCTGAAAGCTACAGCTACACTGACAGCCTCCCACAGCCATAGAGACACTGGCAAATTCCAGTCCCTCCAAGCAGCTGCCGACAAGGCTTCCCCCTCAGCGCTGGCCAAGCGATGCTTCCTGCCTCAGCGCCTTTCTGATACAGGTTCACGAGAGAGATGGGATGAGGAAGCAATGAATTACAGGACTGGAACAAGTGCTCAGTGTATGATCTGACTTCGTTTGCTCAAGGTCAAGGCTGTAACTGACAATAACTTGGTGACAAAATGACTTCAGTTACACATCCATAACCTTAAGCTTCAGACTGCAACTGCCACACCGCGCATCCTCTGCCTAGAGAGAGGAGCACATCAGACTCCACACCCCTACAAAAAAAAGAGACTTTCTCCTCTCCGAGCGCTCCTACCAAATTGCTATCCTGCAAAAGAGAATTAAACCAACAAATAAAATTATGCCAGAAGACAGCAAGACAGCAGCAGGAAACCGAGAGGGCAGGTCTTGAAGGCTGTAACGGCGCTCTGGAACGCCGACAGGCCTCACCTTTGTACTCAGGCGTGAACTCCTTCATTTCCGGGGGCAGAGATTCGTAGAAGCGCTGTTCCCTGGTGATGAGGGGCTTGCAGACAGTATGGTCATCGTAGCGCATCATGCTGCTGTGCCCGCCCACCTGGTGAATGAAAGGCTCCAGCAGGACCCCCCGGTCTCCGGATCGAGTGGCATTCTTGCCATACTTGCCCACTTCCATGGTTTGACAAACACACATTGCGTTGGGCACCAGGTGCACTCTTGGAGCATGGGGAGAGCCACATGGGCTGGGAAGGGTGGCTCAGCAGCGGTCAGACAGCCACGGCGGGGAAATCCTGGCAACCGGCTTCCTTAGCGTGATCTGGAAAAGCAAAGGAGATTCCTGTGAAGGGAGGACCACTTGCATTCACTCCCTGTTGGCTCAGAGGAGTTTTTGGTATTTACTTATATCCCTAACTGTTGTTCTGTGTTTATATCCCACTTGTTCCAGCATGCTCCTCACCACCCCTTTAATCCTACAGGTAAACACACACTAATGCAGAGGCAGCCTCACCTACGGCGTCTCCCACAGGGTTGACAGGAGACAGGGAAAGGAGGATACACAAGTATTCTGAGCCTCCCATCATTAGAAAATGCAACTTCCCTCCTTTAGTTCATTTTATCAGCAAGGCAGTGCGGTAACAGCACAGAAAGAGCTACAGCATAAGCAAAACCAAGCCCGCGCTTGCCTACACGCAGCGGTGACTGACACCGGCAGAACAAACACTTCGAGAACCTGAGTTCCACTCCCCATGCCTCTGCGTTTTTAACATCTAAACCGCTCAATAATGTTCCCCTCCTACTCTCAACACTGCTTCCTCCTTGGCTGACTCCCTGCTCCTCAAGCCATGACAGGAGAGACAGAGCGAGACAGGCATTCTGTCACCGTGCGTGCGCTGTAACCGAACGGATCCCGCTTGGATTCTCCCCTTTATTACTTCAGGATAACAGTGACTTCCCCGACGCTCTCACAGCACCCACATGCACAACAGGTCCCTGATCTCCAGAGGCAGGTGAGAGAGACTGCCAAATGCCGATGAGATCCCAAGTGCCGCGGTGAGGGCAGCTGCTCCTTCCATGTTTGGGAGTGCCCAGCACAGCCACGGGACGACGGAAAAGTAAAACCCTCCCATCTTCTCCAGATGATCTGCCCTTTCCAACTTCGATCACAGCCGCTCCGAGACCGCTGGGGAAACGCCGCAGGATTTCCTCACAGCGATGAGGTATCTAAAGGCTTTGGTACAAGAACCACGCGGTGACTATCGCTTCCGATCAACTCATGGCATTCCCAGCTCCCTCGCACAGCCACGGCAGAGGGCAGTACGTTAGGAACCAAGGGACCTCGGAGGCCTGAACAAGGGACACGGTTCAGGCTGTTCCCCATCTGGCCACGGGATGTCTCCGCAGCCACGCTGCCAGACTGGGAAGTTCTGGATTACAGACTCACGGAATGGTTTGGGTTGGAAGGGACCTTAAAGCCCCCCCAGTTCCAACTCCCTGCCATGGGCAGGGACACCTTCCACTAGACCAGGTTGCTCCAAGCCTCATCCAGCCTGGCCTTGGACACTTCCAGGGATGGGGCATCCACAGCTTCTCTGGGCAACCTGTCCCAGTGCCTCCCCACACACCCCAGGAAGAACTTCTTCCTGACATCCAATCTAAACCTCCCCACTTTCAATTTAAACCCGTCACCCCTTGTCCTGTCACTACAGGCCCTTGTAAAAAGTCCCCCCCAGGTTCCTTGTAGCCCCTTCAGGCACTGGAAGGTGCTATAAGGTCTCCCCGGAGCCTTCTCTTCTCCAGGCTGAACAAGCCCAACTCTCTCAGCTTGTCCCCACAGCAGAGGGGCTCCAGCCCTCGGAGCATCTTCGTGGCCTCCTCTGGACTGAAGACGAGTCTCTTCTCCCTCCCCTCCAGTTAATCACCTAAGAGATGCAGCCCCAGAGATTCAGACGGAGAGACACTGCTTCCTAACAGGTTTAACCCAATCTAACCCAAAAGCTCCCTGCGACAGTACAATGCTTCTCCCTCCCTGTCTGCACAT